GTATGTTATGGGATGAGTAATCTGTGAAAAAATCCATCTTTTTTAATAAAAGTTACGTACTGCAGCTTTAAAACTGCAGTACGTAACTGCAGTTTACGTACTGCAGTTAAGCAAAGACTTATCTAAAAATTGAGAAACTTTGGAACAGAGTTGGACCTTAACAGGAGTAGTTAGCCTATCAGCATTACTCCAGAACCACTTTGACAACAATCTAAAGCACTGCAGGCCTCCCTTGGGGGTCACTTAAGTTCAGTGATTATGATTCCAAGTGGTTGGGCAAAAAAGGGATGAATCCATATTTGAATCATTTCCAGGGTTAGAATTAGAGTCTTGTGAACCCAAAAGAACAAAGAGGTGACAGTGAAGACAAGTGGTTTGTAAATATGATGAAAAAAAGACATATATCTGTAAATAACAATACTGAATTGGTATTCAGTTTATAGATTCTAATTTGAAGTTGAAAATTTAAACTATTTACATAGTTTAATATTTTTGCCCAGCTTACATATTCTTTAAAACATCCCCTAAACACAAGTCTTAATGTTAAATCGTCCCTATATTTTTAATAGACAAAATAAGCCTGCAGAAGCTAAGCTAACGTTAGCTAGAGATCTGAAACACTTGCTTTACAGCATTTCTTAGTAAGGTTCAATGATAATAAAAACAGTAAATATTGCTATAGTTCTTGTACACCCACTGCTATATAATGCCTCATTTCCTTCAGCTAAATTTATTGTTACCCTCATATTCTAGAGCGACAAAGAGAGAATCAGCATGAGCTGAGAATAACAATCAGTCTGAGCGGGTCTGGAGGAAGTGGATTTTCCATCTTCTCAATGAGTTTCATTTTTCTTAGTAAGATCAATCGTCCCATCACAAAACATGTGGATCTTTATCTAAACTGCTAGAGTTGAACTTCAGTTATTGAAGCATTTAAAAAGATGTGTGTTGATTTTACAATCATGTAAAGTTTTGGTTATATCCACTGCACCAGCCAGTTTTTGGCAAGTTTTTCCTTTGTGGGCTCTGGCTGATTACTGACAGATTAAATAAAAACCTATAATCTACTCATCAAAAGCATCAAACTAAAAACCAGCAGCTTGTATTTTGATGTACCTACAAGTTGTATTAAGATCAGATAAAGTATACTAATCACAGAAATGTCTACTGAAGAGTAAGCTAATGCTGTTCCCAATGTTAAATGGTGCCTATATAATGTTTCTGATGAAGTATTATTAGAATACAATTTCAAACGATCTCAGTCAAACAAGGATCTCAGTTTCATTGTAAATCTATTTATTTGACATGAAATACATACAAAGGAAGAGATTCTGCGTTTTCAAGCAGAATCACTTCTGCGAAGGCAAAAGAGCAACTTCAACTCAATTAGAAAAGCCACTGGTGAAGCTTAACATGATAAAATCAAAGGTAGAGAAGGACCACATGTTGTTTTGTTTTTTATAAATCACGAGCTTCAGGCATTTCTCTGCACTTATTGACTTTGGAAGAGAGCTCATTGGAATGCTATTTATACAAACACCACTGGGGCAAGAAATAATGCATTTGGCTGCACAAGACAGCGACTTTAAAATGCTATGCCCAAAATGTTAGAGAAATGTTATTTATGGTACTAAAGATAACACAGATATAATCATTTTGTAGTATGAGGGTCAACAGATGACAGTAATTTGATGAGAATGAAGTTGAGACAAGTTCAGTTTGAGTTTGTTACATTTCTGTAGATTGAAAAAAGTCATGGAAATTGGACAGTTTATTTATTATTTTTCTGGTTCCAAAGCTGTTGTAATTGTTGGATTTACCTGCAAATATTTGATAATTACTTTTTGCTTATATTTCCTATCCCAGCCCTAATATTTGATACTGCACACATCACCACATTTATGATGATAATCAGCTGCAGGAATCTTCTTATCACAAAACTAATAAACATAAAGATGGTTTTCCATCACTAGGTATTCAGCATGAGACTGGATACTTTCAAAGTTTAAGTAAAACTAAAAAAAGAAGGCTGATTAAAGTCTATTCTGCTTATTTTGTTTTTAGAAGAGTTTAGAGGGAATCCTCTGAAAGTGGATTAGTGCATTTGTTGTTAAGCAAATTAACTAAACTGATCATTAGCAAATATGTCAAAAGCAGAAGTATGTTTGTAGATCTGGAAACACAGTTCTGGCTCACTGCAGTGACATAAAGTGAAGATATCTGACCATAATTCAATGATTGGAGAAAACCTTTCACAGTTTATCTCACCGACACTTAATACCAGATGTTACATTGGGCTTTGATAGCATGTTATATAACAAATATTACTTGTTTAAAAGGTTTGAGAGTTCAGTTCCAAAGTGTAGGTGCTTGGGCAAAGAGAACACCTCCATATTTGGAGGAAACCACACGAAACACATCAGCACAGAGACTTAAACACAGTGGTGAAGTGGTGCTGATTTGAGCTTATTTTGCCATCACTGAAGCATGTGAGTAAAATACCTACCTGACAGCTACAGTTTGCGCAAATTTGAGTCATGGAAACATTGAAGAAAAGCAAAGAGCGGGGAAACTTTCCTCCACAACGATGGGAGAGGCTGATAAAGACATGCTAAAATGCAAAAACTTTGAAATAGCTGTTGTTAAAGGCGGATCTACAAGAGCCACTGTTTTGTCTTCTCCAAGTTCGTTTTGCTGCATAGCAACAGTTCCACTCACTGCCCCACGCAGCCCGTAAACCAGGGCTGTCCATATGATTTGTCAAAAAAAAAAAAAATTAAAACTGAAATCAAGCAAATAAAGCAGCTTGGTATTCATTTCTAGTAGGAAAGGGATTATTCATGGCATAGATCCAAAACTTTTAAATGATTTTTGCACATTTGCTGTATTTGAGGCTCAGTTGAACAAAATTATCTTAGGTTTAAAAACGGGATTTGTATCACTTTCTTCCAAAATGCCAGCTATAATTGGACAAGTTTAATAAATTAATTAAAAGCTAACTTGGGTGCAGCAAAATGGGCTTTCCACTGACAGTCTCATGATGTGTGTGGTTCTATTTGTAATAAGTTTGGTTAAAAAAAGAAAAAAAAAAACATTTTGTTGTTCTGAACATTTTCCATTGTAATACTTTTGCACTGAGTAATAATAAACTTTATGTCAGTGGCCAACAGATTTAATTTGAGAGTAATTTTAGAGCCTGCTCACGTTTTTCCCCCTATAACATAAAACACCCCAGACCAACTGAGGTGAGTATTATCCATAAAATGGCTTCCAAGCCTTAAGATTGGGAAGAAAAAGACCAGAAACTGTTTCTTGTCAAGATAAGGTGCCCAAACCACAACATTTTGTCTCCATATCTACCTTCAGTTAACCAGCAAGAGAAGGTTTTTCCTTTTAAACAAAAAGGGCCATAAATTACAGCAGTTGTGTTGACAGATGACTATGTTGCTCTGCCAAGGCAGCTAATTATGTGAGGTGATACTGAATTTGAACTCAAGATATCACAGCCAGTGTCTGCAACAGTCAGTTGTTTGGTTTCACTCCATGAAGAAGAATGCAACCTGATTTGCAATGGCTCAGAAATTGAAATGAGATGAAGAGGAGTTAATTTATTCAGGTAAAGTTCAACAAGTTTTACATTTAAAAATGAGAAGACATGACCAGCAGATGTCACTCTGTTGGTTTTTTTTTCTAAAAGACTTTAGAAAAACAAATGTTGCATCTAATAAAATAGCCTTTAGAGGTCGAAAAAGTCCAAGAAAACTAAGGATGTCTGGAGAGAGAAACAACAGCTCCAACTCAAGCAACCCTGCGTGGTCTTCTATTTTTAGTTTACTACGGGACAAAACACGCACATAACGGGATTTTCATACACCGAGAATCACACATGAAATCAACAGATTGAACAGAAAGCGTGATTAGAAGTCATCGCTTCACTTACCCTCGCTTCCATACTGTTTTCCATTGTTCGCACCCATTTTAAAGAATACATAATCTATGAGCAGGCGCTGGGTTTATCAGGCTGAACTCCAGAGGAAAACACAAAGGAGGCAGGCTGCTTTAAACTTGAAGTTTGCTGTTGCAGTTAGATCCGACTTCAAATAGTTAATCCAGATGTTGAGCTGAGGACGGCGGAGCATTGCGCAAAAAAAAAAAAAAATCGAGAGTCCAGATTTGGTGCGTTTTGCAGCGTTGCAGACTCTAAATCCGAACATCCGCAGACAAAAGTCCCGATTCCAGAGGAGGTCCAAGGAAAACTTTTTTTTCTTTTCTTTTTTTTTTTTTCCTGAGAAGTCCCCCCTTAAATGGTAAGCAGCTGTTTATCAGGATGAGTGGAGAGTCCAGACAGGCTTTGTGAGGACGCGCAGATCCCGTCCACTGGTTTGGGATTTAAAGAGACCGCAGACCAAGAAAGGAGAGCTCCCCCCCACATCCACCCGCCTTTTAGGATTTCCTTAAAATAGGCTAAGAATCCGAGCTTAAAATAGTTACAGTTCTATATATTGTATATACAATTCTGGTCAATAATTTCCACCTACAGATGTGTTTGTGTGGCTCACCTCCCAGGATGAAAAGAATGAGGGGATGGCACAAGTATAAGAAAATTGAAGACCTGCAAGTTATCAACAAAATGGACAAAATCAGAATAATGAACAATTATATCTGCAGAAAGGACCTTACCTTCTTTACAGGACGATGCCATATATGCAGATCCCATTATATCCTGAACACAAACTGTTTAGCTGTTTACCTTCAGTTCAGTGCTGCAGATGTATACAATCATAATTACATTTTAAATATTGAGACTAAAGTGTTATGGAGAACAAACATAACAAATGGAGCCAATTTTGATTGAAACACTATAATCTTGTATGGCAGGTGGTTAATGACACTTATCAAAATGATTTGAATAGTTCTGAACTAAAAACAAATCTTTACACAAAAATTTATTTGGATTTATGAAACTTTTATTTGATTTGTACAAAAAAAAAACCTGTAATTTCAGTTTTTATTAGTATTAAAGGTGAGAAAGTACATTCTTCAGACTGGCCAAACATTGAAGCTCAATATTTCATTTAATATTCCAATTTTTAGTTGTAATATATTATATAGTGAAAATATATATTTAAATTCCCTCCCTTGTATTATTGCTTTCCTAGAACATGCCCCTGCATCTTTGTTTCAATATTCTACATGGTAATTTGAAGTAAAGATTTGTGACAATGTAAAGCAGCCCAACAGTGTGATGCTGCCACCACCAGCTGACCGTGTGCATGCAAGTTTACTAATACTTGAAAGCTTCACCACGACCCCTGCAAAACACACTTTCTGCGTTTCTGTGTAAATGGCTACATTTCTTTCTCAGCTGACCACAAAAGATGTTCAAACTTTTGCAGCTTATATTTACATATTCATATATATACATCCTATGTTCCTTCAATCCATAAAAGAATGGTTCAAATAATGTCAAGAGTCTCATAAGAAATTTACACTCATTAGACTAAGCATCCAACCAGGTTTACAAAAGCTTGGACAGTTATTTAAAATTCAGCATCACCATGCGCTCATTTTGTGTACTTTCTCGACCAATCAGAACAGAATATTTCAAGGACACAGTTTCTCTGAAAGAAAAGAGCGTTTCTATGAACAGCAGTCACACAGGTCATTGGATATGCATACAAACAAAGCCAGTCGTCTACTGCCAACAGCTGGATCAAATATTCTAAATATATGTAAAAAAAATCCTCCATTTCAGTAGGTTTAGAAAATTATATGCAAAGATCTGTACTGCAGGAAAAAAAAAATCATTGTCTCCTCTGTAGTCATATAAACATTTCTTCTTCGTCTGTACAGGCTACAGGCATTTGTCCTATATTTGTGAAAGTCCTGGCAGGAGTCCAGAAAAAGCAAGATGGTCCTCAACTGTAATCAAGAAATTTCTTCTAGCTTTCTTTTCTCTATTCAAACCAAATTGTTTCTTTATTCAACAAAGTTTTCATTTTTTCAAAGCTGAAAAATGTTAGATCTGTTTGGTTTCCACAAGCCAATATAGAGACACTTAAACCAGGACTTACTGGCTCACATAGTAACAAGCAACTGGTTTCCTGCCCTCTTGAGGCCAAATGCCAGACCTCAAAAACCTTTACAGCCAGCCATCTCTACCACACTGGAATGCATAGTGTGACAGATTCAACCATCAGCATCTCAAATTGTTTCACAGCAGCCAGTTTCTTAATAAAGTCCAATAATCTGTGACGCAGGCAGCTGCTAATCCCTCCTTATGTTGAGATCAGCTCTGAAAGTTTGCCATTGAAGCCACAGGAACGAATGGGTGAGGGTCATCAGGCATGCCGGCGCTCATTTCAGGATGAAGCTCAGATACGGCACCGCAAACTGAACCAGGAACACCTGGCATGACTGTGCTTTGGGAGGCTGCAGGCGACTGGCCATCAGTATCCACTCGATCCTTTTCAGCTACTGTGGTGAAGGGGCAGCTGGTGATTTTCTTGAGCCTGCGGTATAATGTCTTCATGGCCACAGGAATGGACATATATCTGTGATAAAAAATATATATATACACACACACACAGGTATTATGCAAGGAATCAGTGAAAGCACAGATTAAAATTAGTATTTCTGCAATAGTACAAAACAAACCTAGTCAGAATTAAGGCGATGTATTTGTCCAATATGGCAGAAGATAAATCATGAACTCCTCTTCCAAACAACTGGCAGGTGATCTCACGGGGATTTGGTATGTTGACCAGCACTGGTGACAGAAAAATACATGAGTCTTTTTCTTTCCTGAGTAATTCTGTAGAGACTGTAAGATATATGTGTTTCAGTTGCAATAAAGAAGCAATGTCAATCTCAGCTGGACAAACAGAAAGAAGTTTGCAGCTGACAGTTAGCCTGAGCTGACAATGTTGTCATCTTTAAGACTCGTTTCAGACACCAATTACACCACTCTGAAAAATTAGCCTGCAAATTTTAAGACGTGCATAAATGGACTAAATTTTTTATTTTTTTTTACTTTTCTTACACTTGGAAGCAAAATGTTTACCAATAAACACGGTTCATAGATATTTCTTGTGAAAGTTGCACACTCTCAGACTCACATTTACAGCTCAGAATCACTTTTACTTCGTTTAAAAATCTCTAGTTTTAGCAGGAAACTATACATTTTTACACTACATATAATCTAATGATGTTAAGGGCTAAGGCAGATTCAAAATGCTTAGAGTATTTCTAACCTAAACTCACACACTACAGTTCTTTTGAATTTATAGAACACAATGTTCTCTATCAATTTATGACAGTAATTACTGCAGAGGACAGGCTTTAAATACCAAACCTGCAGGAACCAGAAACCATACGAGATAAAGTCTGGAAATTCAAACATTTTCCACACCATTTTTCTCCTTTACTGATCCAGACCTGAAAAGTACTTAAATTAAGTGGCTTTTTTCCCCATAAAATTCTCTTAAAAAATGCTTACAGACGGCAAGTTTGTCAATGTGGGGTTGATGGAAGGTCACAGAAATGCTGGTAGTGGACTCTGGGCGGACTTCAAAGTGCAAGTCACAAACTGAAGCTGGTGGGAATTCAGAGAAATAAAGTAAAACACAACATAAATAGAACAAGAGCATCACAAGTCTTCTTGGCAGCATCCCTTCATACATATTGGTTATAATTCTACCACATGAACATCCTCCCACCTGGACTGTCACTCTGATCCAAGCAGCTCCTCAGCAGGGTGTTAAAGGCACATTGGTGACGCAGCAGCTCCAGCACAGCTGAGATGTGAGCTGGCTGGGTGAAAGGAACGCTGGCTAGCAAAGCTGCTCTTTGTGTGGGAACATCCCATGAATAATCAGGGAGAACATAGCTGTGCATTCCACCCTCAGGAAAAACCTGGACAAGACATTTCAATTCTACCTCAGCATATTTTCCGTAAGAATTTAAATTGACAAAAAAATAAAAAAAATAAAACGCATACTTGTACCACTGTAAACATCTCCTGTCCATCTAATGGCTCTGAGGGGCTTTTTGCACTTGCAGAAGCTTTTATCAGAAGCTTGGGTAATGGTGCCCACTGGAGGTCACAATCTGGTATAGTCACGCCTGAAAACACAATGGAATAAGTGTGGCGCTTCTGAAAACAAAAAGAAGTTTGAGTTTTGTTTTGTTTTTTTTCCAAGAAAAAGTTCCCAACCGGTGATTTGTCCAACTCTCTCCACAATATGAGCAAGCACAGGTATCGGTGTCTTCAGTCTGAGCAGGAAACACGTGGGAAGCATCTCATTCGAAACCTCACTGAAAGCAGCGAACGCAGGACAACTGACTCCAAGATGCAGCTTTATTGTTAACCAACAACTTGGACTTTCACATTATTCTACTGAATGAGAGACTAAAATAAAATACAGACCTCTGAGAGTCCAGCTGAGGAGGCTTTGAGGTCAGAGATGTCATCTGGAGCTTGCGAGTCAATTCGCTGATTCCGATTGTAGCCTGGGCTGCCTGGACATCTGGTTTGAACTCCAACAATTCCTCAAATGCTATGAAATAAAGGAATAAAAGATTAAACTTTGAAACTGCTGCATTATCAGACATTGAATTGAGAAGAGAAATCAAAAGCCAAATCAGAATCTTACACAACTCTGAGTTCTCTGGACATTCATTTGGTGAAATATAGAAGTAAAGAGATGGAGGATAATCTAAGAAAAAAAAAAATCAGATCCTAAAAAAAAATACATGCGTATGATTTACTGTTAAAGTTCCAACTCGTACTTTGTTTTTCTGCCATTAAAAAGCCAACCCTGCCATTGTTTATTAAGCCCATTTGGGCTTCAAAGCACTTTGGTTCACTAAAAGAAAGAAAGCATCCTCAATGAATAAACAGTTTAATTCAAGTTGTCCAAAAACAGTGTAGACTGTTTCTGCTATTTTTAATAGTAACTGCTAAAAAAAATAATAATAATAATCACCATGTTAGCCTTTTTTGTTACTTACTTTGGCTTGTCTGATATTTGCTGAAGGTCTTTCCAGAGGCATTGTAGGGATTTCAACATTTTTGATTTTGTTTCACTGTGAAAGCAAGAGACGGGAGACCAAATGGCAACTATTCCAAGTTTTAAAAGTGAATTGTGAATGTCTTAGGAAAACCTACTTGTCTCCAGGAAAGTTATATTGAGCAAACAGTTCTCCCAGCCTCATGGAAAAATCAGAAAAGTTATTGGACCTTTAAAATATCCAGAAAAAAAAAGGAGAATTAAAATTTGCAGGTAAATTACTCATCTTACATCTGAAATTGTTGTTTTAGCTGACAAGATGTCAGAAATGTAAATTTAACAAACCGCCATTGCTTACCTAAGAAGATGCAAAAGGGACCTGCTGGGCTGCGCAGCGATTTTAGTGCATTAGTGAACAAAATTCAAAAACAGGTTTAGCTTCTTATTGTCTGAAGGGCAGAGACTGCTTACAGCGGGGTGTTCTCCATGTAGAGCCACCTTTACCTCCTGCACCTCACCAGACGGCAGCAGCAACACTTCCAGGTAGAAAAAGTCAGCTGTCAGGTAGCAGGAGGCCTCAGTAAAGTGAAAACCCATCCTGAAAAAAATAATAGACACTACAATAAATTATGGATCAACTACAAAAGCACTAGATCTGAATAAACGCTTTTATTTGCCAGTTCAAAGTTTTTATTCTCATCTTGTCATGTTACAACCAAATGCATTTACCCTTGTTGTTTGGCGATCACTTCCAGTCTGGATTTTATGTTGTTCATAGTTGGTGCTGAAAATTAAAGTAAAATGATACGATTACCAATATTACTGTGCTAGAAAGCAGAAAAATGAATCATTGAAATATTTGTTTACCATGAAGCTCTTCCTGGAGTCTGTCCAAAGATCTAACAAGCAGCTCACAAGGTTTGGATTTATCCCTGGATTTCTCCTATTGTGGGACAAAGGGAAATGAAAACCTAACAAAGGATGCATTGTGCAGCAGTGTGAGGCTTGTGTCAACAGGCTAGTGCTGTCTGCCCGTCCCCTCAACAAACACTGCATAACACCACAGCAAGGGAAATATTGACACTGAGGATCCTTTACATAGAGTTTTAAAGAGAGGGCAAATATACTGTGAACTCGTCCTTTGGTTTGAGAATCTAATTTCTTCATAATCCTTGCTGGTCAGTATTGTATGACGAGCCCCAGCTGCAGTATCCCTTTGGGCCACACATCACTTTAGACCACCAAGTAATCAAGATTGCCTTACCAGACTCTGGAGACTGACCCCTGCCAAACTCCACTTTAAATAAATCCACAAATATTCTCCTCTCCTCGGGCTCCACCCAGGAAAATCTAAAGAAAACTCAACAGTCTTCTACTTCCAGACTATCCACGTCTCCTTACATGTACAGAAGGTCTGGGGTCTTTTGTTTCCCGGAGGCGTGGACTCTTCTTCTTCTATGTTTTTTGGCAATTGACAAACAGCAAAGTCGGTGCATCACCGCCTCCGACAGGCCTAGACGCTGCTGAAGTTTTACATTTTACGCTTATAACGCGCCAGTTTCCAGAAGCTTACAGAAAATGATCGTGTTTATTGTTGACTCAAAATTAGCCCTCCAAGGAGGGTGTAAAGAAATGACAGTGCAAAGGGACCTGCGCTGCTGGAGCACCTTCGTAATCGTCCGATTTTTTTGTGAATGGAGTGCGATCTGATCTGCGCCAGTGCATGACCAGATAGCGCGCCACGCCAATGCGTGTGACCGGAGTTGGCGCGCGCCTCCCCACGCACGGTTCAACACGTTAGCTATAAACTACCAACATGGCCGACCTTAACAATCCTTCACTGCAAAAAAGAGAAGTGCCTATCGGGACCAAATGGCTGTTTAACATTTTGGAGCGTGGCCAACACTGAACGGCTTTGCACAATTACGCTGCTGCCATTAGTACAATTCTAAAGCAACACAGGAAATTTATATCATTCATAACTTCTTATGTTCACTGATCAGCCTGGTAGAAATTCTACCGGAGGGAATCCAAGTAAATAGGAGAAAACCCAGACTGAGCTGTAAGAAATTTGAATCAATGGACAGACCAACTTCAGTATCTTTAAAGACATTATGATTTGACTGCATAATAAACATTTGCACATTCGACCCTTTGTTCTTAAACTTCTATATTATATTGTTGGCAAACACACAATACCTCTCAAGTTCTGAGTCCTGTTCCAAAAATAAATAAATATTTGAATATGTGGGGACTGGGCTGGTCACAGAACGAGGTTAAATTTGTGTCCAATGAGCCATTTCTGTCGACTGGCCATGTAGTTTGGATCATCACCCTGTATAATTACTCGTTTTCAGTTTTCTAGTGGAATCAGTCACATTTGTATTAGCTTAGTTCAAAGACTTTCTAATATCATGTACATTTCCAGGGCTTAGTTGAAAAGAAAAAAAAAACAGTCCCACAGCATCATAGAACCTCAACTGCAATTAGCTATTAGCTCATTTTATGACTGTGTTTATTGCCAACAATAACACTCTAGCAAATGTCCTACATTTACATTAGTGATGGAAGTAAAAGTGCAGAACTGGCAACGTTATTGATAAGAAATATTTCTCCAAGAATGCACTTAAATAGTTTGAGTGTGATCTTCTGTGATAAAACTAATTTATTCTAAAGTGTTTCCATAACCTTATATTCTACTGCAGATAGCAAGTGAGACTAAGTAAACATCAGAAACATATCAGTGCCCATAGTGATGATCAAACAAAGGCTCAAGTATCCCACTACAGATGATCTAATGGGAGTGCAGTGCCACACAGCAGTTCCTGATTCATCACATGTTATATTGTTAAAGGGCCCATCCCAAACTGACTCAACAAAACTGTAAGGCAGTTTTTTTTTTATTATTTTAAATGAATGTGAGATTAAAAGGACAAAAGGTTTGGCTTAAGCATAGATTCCCTTACTGTGCATCTGCAGAGGAGCTGAAATGTGTGATTCCAACTTTTCTCTGCAAACATGCAGTGCAAGGTAGAAATTCTGATGAAAGAAAACCAAAGCAGAAAATGTCAACTGTGGCAAATGAGATTGATTTTCAGTACATTATTATTGTAGCAGCAAGAGTTGTCTTTTACAGCAGGAAAGTGCAATTTTCAACACCTCTATTTGGTCATCTTAGTGCTTCCTCATTTAGGCAAATTGTCCCATTTCATATCATAAGCTCCAGGGAAATTATTAAAGTCAGTAGCATCAAAATGAAGTGATTCAGTTTCAACTCAAAAGTGAAACGCAGAGCTGGGAGAGTGTCCCTGGCGGGCGGGCGTTGCCAGACAGAGCCAAGCCCACAGGACGTTCAGTCAGTCCGCTGCTAACAGCTACCACCAGAGTCCCTGGAGTTAGCCACCGAGCTAGCCATGAGCTAACAAGCACAGGAAGCAGAGTGTTTTTATTTTGCATCCTCTCACTCACCTTCCGTCTAGCATTCTGCCCAAGGGAAAACCAGTTCATTTGCAGGTATGTTGCTCTGGTATAGCGTCTTTTAACCGGGGAAACCGGTTTCTCCCTTTTTTAATGTTAGTTGTGATTAGCTGCTGTGATACCAAAACGCTTGCTGCTAGCTCCTCTTTTTTCCCCCTTCTGCTATCGAGAGAGCTGTTCAACGGTGTAAGCATCTGTTGCTGGGCGTCAGGGTAAAACAGATTTGATTTTAGAGGCGTTTCAATCAGCCTGAGCTTCCCCAGCTGCTAATTAAACGTCAGGTGACATGTTTACCTGCTCCGTGCGGTTTAGGTAGCTGCTCGCTTAGCCGCATCGCCCACTTTAACAGCCTCCAGGCGTGGGTCTTTAGAGTATTTAGTCTGCAAATGCCTAGTTTAATCATCTTAACGGGGTTGTTCATGTTTTCCATATCCTCTTTTATTAGTTTGCTCAATTATAGATTGCAGAAACTGCTCTTGACTTGTTATTGTCGTCATTTCAGTGCTAATTTATTTCTCTTACTGGTTTATACTAGGAAAATTACAATGTTTCCTAGTGTAGTCCTTGAAATATGTTAAATATACTAATTTAATAGTTTTATCAAGAGAATGAGACTCTTACAAGGCGTTTATAGTTCACTATTTTTATTATTTGCACTTAAATTAAGTAAATTATAGGTGAGCATTGCATTAAATGCTAAATCGTTGTATTGACTGACAGCTGACGTTGCAAATTAGCGTTTGTTAATTTGTCTAATGAAGTATTGGCATAATTCCCATGTTTAATCCTGCTTCCAAGTGGTTTGGCTTGGCCTGTGCTGGGTGAATGGGCCTTCACCCACTCATTTCTATACATCATGATTACCTTATGGTCTCCATGCATTAGTTCTGACCACTAAATTGCTCTTGCAGATGTCAGATTTTGGGGGGAAAAAAAACATCACCAGATGGTGCCTAGAAATATTAATCATAATAAAAAGGTTACAAATGTGCATAGACGATCCTTCATCAACTACAGGATACTCCTGCTACATTCTGGGAATTTTCCAAACTGTTTTACCTTTAATGTAAAAGAAAAGGCGCAGTTAAAAATTAAATGTTGATGTGTTTTAGTAATGTTTTAATTCCAGTGTGTGTTGAGATGTTTTGTCTCTTATTCTGAAAAGCCTGAATTGTTTCACCTCAATCCATCATAAATTATTTAATTTCCTATAAGAATTGCATATACTGGTAAGTATAGCTTTAACACTAGAAACCTTGTGAATCATAGTTGCCTCTCAGTCTTGGCCTTCTTTGCATAAAGACACTGTTTTGCATTCAGTGAATCTTATTTCTGTGCACTTTGACTTCTGCATGCATTGCTTTCACAAAGACTCAGAGGAAACGGCACGTCAACTATGAACCACAAACATTGTAAAACCTGTCATTTATGGAACAATGGTGAGAAAAAAGTTGTTTCTGGAAGAAAACCACATAAAGAAACCGAAAACGTGGGAGAAGGTGATTGAACATCACAGTGGAAACTGTTGCCACTGTAAAACATGGTGGTGGCAGCATCATGCTCTGCAGTGGTCTTTCTTTCTGAGGTTCACCTTTCAGTTAGACAACATTAATCACACAGCCAAACTAGGTTGAAACATGGCTGTGTGTTATGTCAAAGTTCAGGATCTGAGGCAAAACTTGAAGATGAGTCTTCAGTCAATTTTCATCTGTTCTGACTGATCGTGAGCTATTTTAGAAAGAAAAAAAGGGAAACTTTTTAGTCCGTAGATGTTCAAACATAGTGGAGACATACACCTAAAAACCGCTCTGGTGAAATTACAGCAAAAGGTGGTTCTAAAAAATACTTACTAGAAAGAAATGTCCAAATTCAATTGCACGATATGCTTTTATTTGTAAAGAAAAAAATCAAACATGTTTGTTTTCCTAAAATTCCAGCAAAATACAGAAAAGTTTGTGGCTGTAAAGTAGCAAAAATGAGAAAATCATAATAAACAGAGCAGTGATTTTCTTTCTTTTAAATTATTTTGTCTTAATTCAATGATAAATGCTGCTAAATGAAGAATTTGTACCAGCAATCAAATATATTTATCTTCTTCTTTGGTATTAAAAAGATGAATAATTAAATTATTTCAGTGAAGAGAGGAGCAAAGCATATTAGGAGAGGGAATAAAATGCAGACATTTTAATTTTATCTGGTGTGATCTGAAACAGTTGGTCTTTGCAGTTTAAGTGTAACATCCGTCTCTCCTGACAAATCTATCAACCTGCAGACATGGAACAAGGAGGCTGTGGAAATTATGATGCAATGTTTTTATTATTTTCTCCTTCTCGCTGTACTTTTAACAGGAATTTTTACCCTGCACTTTGTTACACCTGGAATCCTTTTACGATCTTCTTTTCGCAATCCCATCCATTCACACGCTGCCTTGACCTTTCACCCCCCACCCCCTGCCCTTGACATCTACGCCGAGCCATGGCCGCTGCAAAACCCAAAGGACAGAACTCTCTGGCCCTCCACAAAGTGATCATGGTGGGCAGCGGAGGAGTGGGGAAATCAGCCCTCACCCTCCAGTTCATGTATGATGAGGTCGGTGTCTCGCATTTCAGCAGGCATGTGAAGCTGACACGTTTCTTCCACCTGTAACCAGTCAAATCTACTTCTTTTCCCAGTTTGTTGAAGACTACGAGCCCACTAAAGCTGACAGCTACAGGAAGAAAGTAGTACTGGACGGAGAGGAGGTGCAGATAGACATCCTGGACACGGCCGGCCAGGAGGATTACGCCGCCATCCGGGACAACTACTTCCGCAGCGGCGAGGGCTTCCTCTGCGTATTTTCAATCACAGAGCTGGAGTCTTTTGCAGCAACAGTGGACTTCAGGTGCGAGAGAGAGCGTATCTAAATGAATACCCATACTTTTTCCTTCCACTTAACTTTTTTGAGTATACTTGGAAAAAAACCTACTTCCAAAGCAATAACTTTTTGTGCCTTTCAAGTCAGCTGTCTTCCCCATGATTGTGTTGCCTACTGACTTAGATTGTGAGAACATTTAGAGGCTCAGGAATCTTTTGCAGGAGTTCATTCGCTGATTAGGGTGTGACTCCGTGAGTTACCGATATGCACCTTAAAACGAAGACAGTTTTAAAATGGAAATGTGGACTTAAGGAAACATATCTTTAATATCTGCTTAGAGGTTGTTATTTCCAAAAAGGTACTTTTAATTAAGGCGCACATTCCATTGTACCTGTACATGCTCTGTGGCTGTTTTTGCAGAGAGCAGATTCTGCGAGTGAAGGAAGACGAGAATGTGCCCTTCCTCTTGGTCGGCAATAAATCGGACTTGGACGACCGGCGGCAGGTCAGTGCGGACGAAGCAAAGGCGCGTGCAGAGCAGTGGGGCGTGTGTTACGTGGAGACTTCTGCCAAAACCCGTGCCAATGTGGATAAGGTTTGTCGCCCCCTCCTGGTTGAACGAGCTCACTGTCTGAAATTTAAATTTAAAAATTTAACTTTTTTTGTTTGTTTGTTTTCAGGTGTTTTTTGACCTGATGCGAGAGATCCGAGCGAGAAAAATGGAGGACAGCAAAGAGAAGAACGGGAAGAAGAAAAGTAAAAGCCTGGCTAAAAGAATTAGAGAGAGATGCTGCATTTTATAGTGGTGAATGAGAGCAGGCTAGCTGCTAGTGTACATGTACATTTCTCAGACTTTTGCATTTCTTTTGTGCCCAGACCTGACCATGACTTTCTGTTCCTGGCTAACGCAGGACCTCTGACCGTGCGTCAGGAAGTAGTGAGGTGGCACTTCATACACCATTTTTAGCTCTTAACTTTTTATGTGCTGACACTCCAAATAATTTATGATTTATGTAATCTCTTTTTCTTACTCTTACACATGACAGAGTTTTAATAGATGAGTGGTGTTTTAATTTTAGGCCTGAGCTTGCCAAGAAGCCCTAAAATGTCCTGAAAAAAAAACCCCATTTTAATTGTAAAGTGTATGCATATTATCTTCAGACAGCTGTACAGGTGTATGTTCAATAGAAAAAGGCTGAGACGTTTTCAGAGCTAAGGCTTAAACGGGGAAGGTGTAGTCAGAAAAACCCCCAGACCATAAATAGAGTCTCCCACCTTTGCTTGGAAATACTCAGCTTTGTAGCGTGAACTCCTGGTTCAAGTGCCACCAAGTAAATATAATTCCCACTGGTTAATCTGGAAAGGATTTTAATGAAATAACGCCTCCTTTTTCTAAGCAGATGCCCACATTTGTTGCCATTCCTACTTGTTTTTTGTGCGATGACATCCTTTTAAACACTATTTTCTCGTTTTTTTTCTCCTCCACATGAAACACTGCAAAATAGGCACACAATTTTTCCATTTCCTTCACTTCTTCCTGTCAGATAGTCTTCTAAAAATGCACAAACAACATTGATCACTACCCTGAATCCTCAAAGGGATTTCTGCAACACTTGAACATTTTTCAGTCCTAACGTTTTAGAAGTGTTACTTCACTCGGCTAAGGAATTTCATTGCCTTTTTTGTGATTGAGGAATCCCTGGTGCTGTGATTTCAAAAAAAAAAAAAAAAAAGGTGATTCCATAACACTACTTGCAACTCAGTACTAAAAAAAATTTCTTCCAGACAATTTAATTTTTTCTTGGCTCAGACTTTTAATTAGCAACTTTATATTACACTAGTTTTTGTTTAAATGTATTGCTTATTTAGGAAAAGCTTAACAGAAGGAGGAGTTAGACGATGAAAACAAACAAAAGCAAAGATTGAATTACGATTTCCTCTTTCCAAAAAACGTTGCCATCAGCAACCAAAGAAAACTGCTAGCTAATACAAATAACAGGGTTCCTACACTGTCTTAAAAATTCTGAACCGGTCTTCATAAAATCAACTTGTCTCGAAAAACATTTGTCTTCATAGACTCTTATTTGTTCCTTTATTACAAAATCTTAATTCCAGACCTTTCTAAGAATAACAGTTCGTTTAAATAAGGTTATCTTTAAACTGTTAACACAAAACACACTTAGACAAATTTTTTTCTCAGAAAACAATATAGTAAAACTGTTATAAAAACAGAACAATTTCTTTTACGCTGATAAAATGACAAATTAACATGTAAAAAGTCCAGATGATTCTTTCTTGAGAGAAAGGACTCACTATTGAAATCAAACATAAGCTCTTGGTGTCTCTATAACAGCACATTAAAATGAAACAATCTTGTTTTTTGCAAAATAATGAGCTAATGAACATGGAGAAAAAAGTGTGGATCCATTTGCATGCTCAGTTTTATTCATCTGGATTTGTTTGTGTGTATGTTTGGGTTAAAAATCCGTGCTAGTCTTTGTTAGTCAGGCCCCTTTCGGTTGGAGCGCTAGATCAGTCATGCAGTTTAACATTATTTAACCCAGAACCGCGCCCACGCTCTTGCAGTTTACCGTGGATCATGGGCAGCAGGTTTCTAGAGTTTTATGTATGAAAAATACTGATTATAAATATATAAAAAAATACTCCTTAGCTCCTACCTACAATCCAAAAATGACCTAAAACATGATTGAGCAATTTCAAAATTTGAGTCTGGTATTTTTCAAATAAAAAAATGTGTAGGAACCCTGAAATAAGTGCCCAGTTGTTAAACCCAGTGAATGAGAAATTTCCATGGTGAGTATAAACCGATCAGCACTACAGCGTTGTGTAAAAACAACCTTAGCAGAGGATCGACAAGGGGGAAGTGAAACAGTTTAATTGGTGTAAGAAATGAAAGGTTCTGAGGGCTTTTGTAATTCTTGTGCAGTGCGTCACGGTTGCCTCTCTGTCCGTTGTGAATGTGAATAATCCCTTCTTACTCATCCTGTAATCCTAAACTGCCAGTGCTTTGCAGAGCATAGAAGTCATCGACGTTCTACTTTTCTTTTTTTTTTTTTTTTTCTGTTCCATCACCTGCATCCTGTGGCAAGGCTTCTCTGTAACATGTCAACAAAAATGTCATGCGCTCCTTTTTTTAGCTCTTGTAACTGGATGGTTTGAGAGGAAAGTTGATGTTTGAATAGCACAGAAAGGAACTGGCTGCTCTTCAGCAATAGCTAAATTTGACCAAGAAAAGAAAAAAAATACCAACTAAACCCTTCTATTCTTAATTCTTGAGACAGACGCTCTATAATTCTTAGCATTTATTTAAAATGTTTACACTTTTTTTCTCTGACAGCCACACGAAGGTTGTTGCTGACATCCAGTCTGATTATGTTTTAAACTATTGATTTGAGCGTAAATACAGTTCTGGTCAATCACTTCTCATGGGCATGGATATTATACTCATTTAGGGCTTTAAATACTTTATTTAATCCTTTATCTTTGCAGAGTGGAATGATTTTTAAACATACAACTTAAGTAAATTAAGTTGGATTTAGATGAAGCAATTTAACTATTTTACCACTAAATCAGTTTGGCACGTCCAAAGTTTTAGTCAGGCTTGGTGAAAGCAACATCTGAGGGAAACGTTTAGCTGTCAGTGGTTACTGTGGATAAATATGATCAATTTGATAAATTCAAACTTGTGCATTATATTGTAGTTTTTAAAATACATTAAAGCAGTGTGCTTTATTAGCCAAGTGACAGAAGAAAACCCACTTGAGATAAATTATGAAGATCTAGTATTAGTGTTGCATTCATGCCCATGAAAAATGGATCTAAACTTGTCTAAAAATGTATGTGGTGTCTATGCAAAAGGTTTTTTGGAACCGTAACAAGGGAATGTAAAAAATTTCAAAATACCGGCTCTGTGTCTTTTAAACTACCTTTCAAAAAGGCAAAGCGCAGTAGAAGCACTTCAGCTCTAACGCTCTCAGTAGGGATCTGATTTCAGCTCGAAAAACACAACATCATCGAAAAGTTATGCGTCTTATTAGATTTGAAGTGACTCAGTGCGAGTTCATCGATTCCCAGAGTTAATGCATAGAAAATGCACAGTTGTGTTTCCTAATAGAAATGTGACGCATGTTGAGCATTAAGCACACAGAGGCAAAGAGTTGGACTCTAGAGAGAAGGAGGCTAGACCCAAAATACTGGGAAGCCATTACATCAGAACACAAAGCGGTTACAGATGTTCTAAGGGCTAACCTTCGGCGCATCACACAGATTGGGCCCGTCCCAATCTGTGTTTCACAAAAAGTTAGTGAGACTTGGGAAGAAACTAAGAAAGACCCCAGTTTGTTTTGAGCAGGCCTCCCTCTATACTGTTCCTGCTTGTTTTGTTGTTGTTTTTCTTTGCTTCATTTTCATGTAACAAACTTCACAGGCCAACACCTCTGCAGGACTCTAAAGCAGATATTGTGTGAAAAGCTGCAAGCAGAATGTCCTAATGGGGCTTTTAATTAACTTGCTTTACCTTTTTCTATTAATGCCCTTGGAATGATGACTATCTATGTCTTGGACTGGATGGTTGTTGTACGTATGCCATCGGTTAAATGTCTCCTTCATGTTTACTTATTTTGAGCAAAACCACTAATGTAGCCTGTTTGTGAATGCAAGAGGTGAAGCTTACATTTCAATTCATTTTTTTGTGAGTAATTTGGAAATGGCAAATAAAGTGGATATTACTAATAACATTTGGAGATGTGTTTGTGAGATCTTGTGAAACAGCTGGTCTCTCTCATTGTGGTCATGTTTCGTTTTCTCTGAAAAGATAGGCTGACCTTTAAAACGAAGAGCTCCCTTAGGAACACTTCGCCTTTCGGCTGTTTGTTTTTGTTTCTTTTTGCGAATATGCTGAATCTCTGCAACCTCCTGACCTTGATATTTCAAACAGAATTATATCACATGCTAGATTATTTCTTCTTTTTGCCATGGATGCGTCACAGGATGTCATCGGCTTCACTTTCCTAAATGTTTGGCTGCAGATCATTACAAAAATGTGGATTTCAGTTGAATAATTTGTAATCATTCTCAGTCACAACAAAAAGTCACATCTGTTATGTACATCTGTTATATATATCATATATTTCACTTCCCTTTCAACACTGAAAAAATGACCATAATGCTGACATTGCTCTGCTGCTTCAGATAAAGACCTGACAATCTTGCAGCATTATTACTGTTATGTGACCAAACAAACCCCAAATGTTCCTTGCCAGGAAACGAATAGAAAAACAACAAGATGGCAAATGCATATCAGTGATAACGTTTTTATTTCATCCAGCCAAGATTGATATGTTTAATATTGACTATCATCAGCCAATGTCAATCGTAATGATATATTGTACAGTCCTTCTTGGTACAAATATTTTCTGCAATGTCCATATATTTGAGTTATGTTGTATGTACGGCTAAAAATCGGTTGATCTGAGAGTTGATCTATGTTATAGATCCAGGATTGTAATCTTAGATCCAGGATCAGATCTATAACATAGATTACATTACATTTTGAACATTACATTACATTTTGGTCCATAATTATAAAAGGTAAGTTTGACATGAAAACAGCACCAAATTACACATAAAAACACCATTATGCTCTGAAATTACATGCAGCAGGTTTTTTGTCAGGTTTGTCAAGTTCTAAATGTCAATTTTTGAGACCCAAAACCTTCCAGAAAGTTAAGGATATGAAGAAATTTTATTAGCATCATCATGAGTCCAAACATATGTCAAAATCCACAAAATAATTACTTTGTAGGAGGACAAACAAAGTTTTGGAATGGTTTAGGTGGAATCCAGAACTAAATCTAATAGAAAATGTTTACAAACTGACATGCTGAGAATGTACGCACGGTGAAATGGACAAATTTTGCGAAGTGAAGATATGAGAGGCTGAGAGTTGACTAAATGCTAAATGAGTAGCAGGGGTTTCAACAAAAAAAAAAAAAAGAGACAGAAATGAAAACCACAAAACATGAAACTGAGTTTTGGATAAATAATTTTAATGACAGAATTACTAAAATTATCAGAAGTAAAGGTCTAGAAACTATCACCCTTGGCAAATAAACTATGTAATTACATACAGCTTAATTTGTGGCGTGAATTGGTGAGACAATTTTACTTGCATTAATATTCTTAATTTAGATGTAGTTGTAATCTTAGAGGGAGCTGGTCGAGTTTTAAAAACTATTTGTATCATACCTATTATAATCTGTTGGCAAAAACGTGATTTAATCATTTCTAATAATTTCTGAAAAACCCAAAATAATAACAGCGTTATTATTGTTAACGCTTCTATTTTGAAGGCAAGGGTTTTCCTTCGCGTTGACGTCAGCTCTTATCTGGATTACGCACGCGGACTCTATTGGTTTACGTCGTCGCACGAGGCCTGTAGTTCGAACGCTGCACGGCCTCGACGATCTGAACCGTTAGCCACGTTACGCACAAACTTATTATATCTCGAGATGAATCCAAAGTGTTTCCGATCAGCTTTCTGTGTCAGGGTGGCTGCTGTATTTGAATGATGTTGTGAGGAGATGCATCATCAGTCCGGCTGGATTTGTTCCAAGAACGGCGTGTTTTGAATGGCTTTGTTTTCCCGACTGATTTGCCTTGAACTCCACGCAAGGAGAAAGGAGAGCTAGCGGAGCTAAGCTGCTAGCGAGTTATCTACTTCCTTGTTGCACACTGGAGTGTGTTGGAAGACCAGAAGAAGTTTCTAAGGGGACGATTTTTAATTTTTACAATGTAACACTGTCTGGTGGATGGATTTAAAGCATCGCGCGGATTGTAGCGGTAAAGAAGAACACGCTTTTTAATAACTGGAGTAATTTTGGCCTCTGTAGGCGATTCAATGGAATGCGATTGTGGACCAGAACAGTTAGCTAGCTTGAGCTAGCTGGTTTAAGCGATTAGCATTGGCTATTCAATCTGGGAGACAGCCATTCTGGAGTACAATGGTTGAGTACCGACTGATTTTATGACTCTGCAACACAATATTATTTGAGTGTGGCGGATTTTTTTGCCACCAAGTGTCATCATTTGTAGGACGCACTCGGTCTGGGCTTTTTGTTGTGCTGGTTTTGCAATGGAAACGTTAAGCTTTTGATCCTGCTAGCCGACAGGCTGTCTAATTGAGAGACGTCAGCTAAGTAGCCTGTTACACCGCTAGCCCAATGTTTTGTTTAGCAGCACATAGGGGGACATAGTTTTGAGAGAACATTCTGTACTGTTATTCTGGACTTTGTGGTAGCTGTGATTCATTTGAAAGGTAAATGCCCAATTCAGAGGTGCTTCGCGAGGGTCGCGGACGGAGCCCCTCTGAACAGCGACATGCTAACAGACAGGACAGGCGGAGTAAGCCGGGGAGCGATGGGACACAGCGAGAGCGGCACCGGGAGAAGAGGCGCTCGTCGGCTGCCCGAAGGAAAAAACGCAGGCCGGAGAAGAACAGAAACCTGTGGCCCATCGGTGCGACAGAAAAAGCAGAAAATAATCGAAAGGGCGCTTTTGATAAGGAGCTCGAACTTCGGACGCTAGTGGAATATGATGACGTTAGCTCCCAGTCGGAGCGGTTCTCTGGAAGCCCCTCTCCTAAACTTTACCCTCACCCTGACGGGCTGGCAGTGGATCGACTTAGCGATGTTGACTTGGGGGAGTTTAACGGACCAGCATCTCCAGTAAGAAGCCAACTGGAGGGCCGGAAGGCGGTGTGCCTTAGTAAGGATAGCATAACCAGAGGACCATCCGTGAAGAATAAACAAGGGAAAGAGATAAGTAGAAAGAAAGTCCATCGTAGTCGTGAGAGAGACCCCTCAAAAGTCAGGAGTGGAGGTAGCCTGAGTGGCTCTAAAAATCACAGGGACGCTGCAAAGAGCGGTGACAGGAATGGCAAAAGGACTTCCACATCACTGACCTCCCAATCCGCAGACAAAAAAGATTCAAAAAGGCACAAAAGTAAAACGAGGTCTGACAAAGAGCCTCCGTCTGCATACAGAGAAGCTCCACAGGCTTACAGAGATGACCGTGATGACCTCAGGGCATACAGGAGAAGTCCTGGTTTTAAAGCAGACAGTCCCTATGGGCCATCTTACTCCTACAACTACCAGTCTCCTGGTGGATTCAACCAGGTAATATCTAGAAGAAGTCCAACTTTCTTAAGTAAAAGACCCTCACCCAGCTCCACTTATTATAGTCGGGATATAGATGTGTACGGAGCATATGGTGTTTCAAAGTCACCCAGTTCGTACTCCAGCAACAAGAGGAAGCGATCTCCATCCAGTCCAGTTAACTGGCGCAGGTCGCCCAGTTTCAGCAGGCATAGCCCATACGAACAAGGAGAGTTTGTCTCAAGTCCCAATGGAAATCGCAGAAGATCCCGAAGTCCCTACAGGAAGTCCATGAGTCCGAGTCCAGATGTCAGGTGAGCTCCGAAAGTGTATCTCATCTAGGATTAAAATTTGTCATTACAATCCAGCAAGGGCTGGGCTGGTTACCACATCTTGCTATCCATCCCACACTTATTGCTGCAGACTGCCTGTCAGCTGGCTTCTAAGAATGATACATTTGGTGATTGGAGATTTTTGTGATATTATGAAGACACTAATATTTTTTTACTTTGGTCTGTTTCAGACTACTGTCATTTTCTAAATATTCTTAAATAGTTTTTATGGGGGTGGAGAAAAGAGATGGAGAGCATCAGGAAGACAGCTCATGCTGACCTTATTAACAAGTCTATTTGTACTAGTGAAGATTAAATGAAAGTTCCTTTTATCTTTATGCTGTTTTGTTTGTCAATTTTTATGTGTTAGCGTAGTCATTAACATACTAACATTGCTTTTAATAATCATAGTCATCATCCTGTACAGCATTACCTGTGTCTCTGTTGTTTTTGAATCATTTTAGAATTTGAAAGGAACAATTATTGTTAGACGCTGTTTGTTTTTACAGACATGGGAAAGATTAGAATAACTTACCTGAGCAGGTTCTGTGTGTTTATGTGACAATTGTCAGAATATTAGTCATTCAGATTTAAATTGGGTCAATACAACCTTTCGCCTGTTTGTTTTCAGACACATTAACATTATGTTCCAACAGACCTCCATTTTGTACCCATGCACTTAAATACAGTGCACCATTTTATTACTGTGTAATAAATGGTGTACTTTGTAGTCATAAAAAGGCTCTAAATGCACATAATTATAAATTGTGTATTAATTCTTGTTTGGGCCAGTTTTTGACTATCTTAAATCAAAACAAAGCTGAGCATCCTCTTACCATATTGCCACACCTATTCCAATACTAATAGGTATTGGAAAGTTACTTTAGGTTTTCAAAACGGGACCAGAATGTCCTCAAGGTGGGTACAAAGGTACAAAGGTGTTTAACTGCCAGAGCTACGAACTGAATTCAGGAGCATGAGCTCGTTGAAACCAAAAAACATTCTTGTTATAAAGAGACAGAAAACTATTTTAAATGAGAACATTTTTAATTTTAAAATAAAATACATGAATCTGACAGAATACTTTTTCCTAAAACATCGGCTTCTTCAAGACAACACCCAAACATCCCACAAAGTTTTACTATTACAACCTTTCTTGTTTAAATTAAAACCTATTTTTGTCTTAATAAAATATAAAACTCATCATAGCTAGATTTTTACTTTGCTTAAACAAGGATGTTTCTCGTTTTTATGAGATGCTACTACTGTATTTATTTCCTGGCTCTGGCACCTAAATGATAAAAGTCCAGTTTAGACAAACTGGATGCTTTTACAATTGAATTCTTTTAGGTCTAAATATATTTTTGCTTATTCTTCCAGACGACCTGCTAAGTCTCGTAGCAGAAGTCCATATTCAACCTCAAGGCATTCACGTTCTCACAGCCGCCACCGGCACTCTCGTTCCCGCAGTCGCCACTCCAGCCTCTCGCCGAGCACGCTCACGTTCAAAAGCAGCCTCGCCGCTGAGCTCAGCAAGCAGAAAAAAGTGAAAGCAGCAGAGGCTGCCGCCAAGGCCAAGAACTCGAGCAATACATCTACTCCGACCAAAGGTTCCTCCTCGGCTCCTCAGCCGAGCCCCAAGTCTAACCACACCTCCAGGAAGGGACGTCCTCCCTCTCCACCTCCACCAGAGAAGGGACCCAGAACGCCGCAATCCAGCCAGCCCCAGTCCCCTGCAGACAAGTTGTCCAAGAAGACCACAGAATGCCAGACCAGTAAGGACAGAGATTGGAAGGGCAGAGATGATTCGATACACCGGGACAAAAGGAAAGTGGCAACATCTGGACCAAGCAAAGACAAGGAGCGACCCACCGCTCCAATTATTTCCACACTGCCAGCGCTACCGTTGCCCCCTGTCATTGAGAACTTTGATAAAGGAGAAAGGTTTGGGTTTATTTCATGCTGTTTGAGTACTTCTTTAGGTTTTTATGTCATCACTCAGATTTGCTCAAGCACATTCTGATTTTATCTTCAGCTTAAAGGACGCCTCAACGAAGAAGAAATTAGAGAAGAAATCCCGTCAGCTCCTGACCGACTTGCCTCTTCCCCCTGAGCTTCCTGGAGGCATGTCTTCTCCACACAGCCCGCTTGAGGACAAAAAGTCCCAAACGCTTCGTCGAAGACCAAGGTTTGCTCAAACAGTTCATGAGAGTCTTTTTTTTACTGTATTTCACAATAAGTGTGCTTTTTTTTTTCTTAATCTTTTGTAAATGTTATTTTGTGGTTCACCAGAATTTGTGGCCCAAGACACGGTGAAATCAAAGAAACAGAGATGTATTGGGGAAAACGTTGCGTGGACAAGTTTGAGATCATTGGAATAACGGGAGAAGGGACCTATGGTCAAGTGTACAAGGCTAAAGACAAAGACACTGGTGAGATTTCACATCAACACAAATGTTTCATTCTGGAAGGGTCAACTTTCCAGCACAATATTTTCTACTCTTGACTTAAAAGTTGTTTGCCATTGACAACCATTTGTCAATCCACCCGTCCAAACGCTTGTCCATTTGTCCATCCAGACTTTAAAAATTATATAAAACTCTTGAAAGTTGAAGTTTGTAATGACAAAAATGTTAGGGAACCAGGAAGTTTTCAGCCACCAGGTAACCCTGTCAAACACAGTTTCTAGGACTTTGGTCAGCAGCTGCTCTTGACTTCTATCCTTCAGGTGAGATGGTGGCTTTGAAAAAAGTTCGACTGGACAATGAAAAGGAGGGCTTCCCAATCACAGCCATTAGAGAGATTAAAATTCTGCGACAGCTCAATCACAAGAGCATCATAAACATGAAGGAGATTGTCACTGACAAAGAGGATGCTCTGGACTTCAAGAATGATAAAGGTAACAACGCTTTTGCAGTCACTCGTGTTACTGGCTGTTTACCGCCTCTGTGCTGACTGAAGCTTCGTTCTCGTCCCAGGTGCTTTTTACCTCGTGTTCGAGTACATGGACCACGACCTGATGGGTCTTCTGGAGTCCGGTCTGGTCCATTTCAATGAGAACCACATAAAGTCCTTCATGCGGCAGCTGCTGGAGGGCCTCGATTACTGCCACAAGAAGAACTTTCTTCACAGAGACATCAAGTGCTCCAACATACTCCTCAATAACAAGTGAGTCGGAGAAAGAACAAGCCTCTGTTTAGTGAAGATTTTCCCCCAACAGTCATTGATCGATGTTTTCCTCGTTTTAATCAGAGGTCAAATCAAGCTGGCAGACTTCGGACTAGCTCGACTCTACAACTCTGAAGAGAGGTGAGTCTTGTGTTCTTGGCACAATCGTTTTGATTTTGAGTCTTAACTTTATTAGCCCAGCTTTTCAGCTTGAGTATGTCAGTAACGAACACACCTGCTTCTCCAGTCGACCATACACCAATAAAGTGATCACACTGTGGTACCGCCCCCCGGAGCTGCTGCTGGGGGAAGAGCGGTACACTCCAGCTATTGACGTGTGGAGCTGTGGGTAGGTGATCGTCCTTTTTTACTTATACTTAACACGTTTCTCACAACCTATACGTTCATGTTTGATGAGCTCTTCTGTGTTTTACAGATGCATTCTGGGTGAACTCTTCACAAAGAAACCAATATTTCAAGCGAACCAGGAACTTGCACAGTTAGAACTCATCAGGTAAGTCAACTTGTATTCATGAAAAAGTCATTTCACCAAATATATCTTAATATCCACAGTCAGCTGTTTTCTCCAAACATGGTGTGCTTATTAACACATGAGTAATTATTGCAAAAGTATGAAATTTAATCTTGAGGGACTTCCTGGTAAATTAATGTCAAATGAAAATTATTCATACTACTGAGTGACACAATCAGACTTCTGTATGAACAGTTTAGACCTCCAAAGAGGGACGCATGAGCAAAAGAAGAATGTAGGCGTCACACAGCAGCGATGGTGTTTATTAGTTTTTTATGGAAACTCATAATGTTCAGACAGAATGTGATTAGTTTTTTCCAGGACTTCATAAAAAATTATTTCAGTTAAATTCAGTGATTAGAGGTGGTGAGTTTTGTGGCTTATTATTATTATTTTTTTAACTTAAAAGGAACAGTGTTGTTTCTTCATGATGGGGAAAGAAAAAGGACAGAGTTTAGCTGTAGTTTATTAATAACATTTTCATGTCACTGCATTTTTGCTACAATAAATTAATAAATGTTCTTGTAGCCGGATCTGCGGCAGCCCCTGTCCTGCTGTTTGGCCAGATGTCATAAAGCTTCCCTTTTTCAACACCATGAAGCCAAAGAAGCAGTACCGGAGACGCCTGAGGGAGGAGTTTGCTTTGTAAGTTTAACCTGAAGTGTTGTTTTATATTCCTGGGAGCTGCTCTCCAGCTGTTCTGTTTTGCCGCTCAGCATCCCCCTGTCCGCCCTGGATCTCTTCGACCACATGCTGAACCTGGACCCCAGCAAGCGCTGCACAGCTGAACAAGCGCTGGGCAGCGAGTTCCTCAAAGACGTGGATCCGGACAAGATGCCTCCTCCAGAGTATGTCCCTCCGTCCGTGTCGTTACCACGCGCCGATTGTTTTTAGCATCATCAGATCATTGATGTTTTTCTGTCTCTGCAGCCTTCCCCTTTGGCAGGACTGTCATGAGCTGTGGAGTAAGAAGCGTCGCCGCCAGAAGCAGATGCCAGAGGAGCTGGTGGCCCCTAAAGCCCCCCGCAAGGAGCTGGGCCTCGATGACAGCCGCAGCAACACGCCGCAGGGCTTCACCGCTCCGGGAGGCATCAAAGCACAGAATTCAGCTGCTTCTGCACTTCTGGGTCAGTTTAACAACGTTTGCTGTTCTGTGATTTGCTTGATGGTCACCCACATAACGCTCCTGGGAGTTGACCCAGGCTCCAGAAAATTCAGCCTCATTTTCATGCTTTACATGTTCCAACCACAAGCTTCAGGGTTTTTTACTGGGATTTTATAGTCTAACAACACAGTGCATTATGTGATGGAGAAGTATAGTCATACATTGTTTTGAAGAACTTTATGAATGGAAATCTGGAAATTGACTCACTTTACTCTAATGCCCCGAAATAAATAAAATCCAGGTCAACCGGATGATAGACGTCTTACTTTTTTCTTGTAATTAATATTTTTTTCTTAACCTGGCAGTAATACTCAATTGTAGTGGATTGATGGAACTTAATATAGTGGAATCAAAATGATTTTAAAATAAAGTTATATGAATACTTTTGATCTGCAGGTTTTTCCTGGACATCCTACTTTCCTAAATGTGTTTTCTATCAGAAAACCATTTGATGTTCTTTTGTGTCTTGTCACAGAACCAAAGGGTCCAAACTCCCAGTTCACCCAGGAGCAGCTGGCCGTCCTCTTAAACATATTTGGGCAGCCCAAGAGTGCAATCAACCCCGCCCAGTTTGTCCAGTCCATGAGCACAAAGGTCAACCAGGAGGCACTGCAGCAGCTCACTAAAGCCTTAGCTCCCTCTGACCCGTCAGAACCCGCACCGCAACTCACTTCTGCCAAACCCCCCCAGCCTCCCGTGCCAGCCGGAGTCCCGCGTACTCCCCCCATGCCCAAGCCTCCTTCGCCCCCCATATGCGCCCCGCCGGTTATTCCTGAGGGCGAAGCCGCGGCCGCCACCCACACGGCCGTGACCATGCTGCTGGCCCAGCTGCTGCAGGCTCAGCAGGCTCAGAGGCAGGAAGCAGCCGACAGCGGGGAAGGAGCGGAGAGCAGCACCGCCGCGGCCCCGCCTCCAGCGCTTCCACCTCCAGAGGTCAAGCCGCCTCCAGAACCCAGCCCTGTTTCTCCAGGTGAGAGAGCAGCACTCCACTAAAGCCAGAACCAGAAAAAGTCCAGCAGCCAGAGACAGACATTATAGATGACAAACTTAGCATTTAAGCTTCACTTGAATATAAAAATATATTTTTTATAAATTTGATAAATCTGTGTCCTGACATGACTTATAGAAGCATTTTTTATTGTCTCTTATTCCTGTAGAATGTTTGTCATGCACAATACAAAAATGCCACTTCATTATGTACTATTCCGTCATAACTCAGTAATTAGTCTGGGATTCTTGCTCAGGAAGTCCAGGTGGCTTTAATGGCGACCTTCTGAACTCTCTTGGTCGATGGCAGCTCAGTTTTTCCTTTCTCTCAACTTTCCAGTTCTTCACAGCTCTGTGAACAATCAGCCTGTTTTAAATCAAAATAATTAAATGAGATGTTTCTGGTCATAATTTTTTTTTTCTTCCTCAGTATCTGAGGTTGGGGGCGTGTCCATCCTGCCCCCGGACCAGCGCCCCCCTGAACCCCCGGAGCCTCCCCCACATGCCGATCTAGACTACCGCCAGCCGCCACCTGAGCCTAAGCTGGGTCACGCCCCCCCAATCACCTCTGCCAGCGGAGATGAAGGAGGTCGGCCCCCGGAGCCGGACTACCCTCCCCTTCCTCCCTCTGCAGAGGGGTCTGCCTACAGCCACCCGCCTATCCCTCCTCCTCCCTTCACTCCTGGTTTTGCTGACAGCTACATGGGCCACATGATGGGCGGGGGCCTGCCACCCCACGCACTGAGGGAAGTGTTCAGCGGTCCAGGCGCTGCGGCCTCGAACAGCGCTGGGGTTCTGCCACCTGCCCACCCGGAGCCTTTTCCCCCAGCAGCGGCAGCCCCCGGCCCCGGCAGCCTGCTGTTCAGTGGGGACAAGGACCACCGTTTCGAGTACAATCACAGTCCGTTAGCCGTAGAGGGGCAGCCCAACCCCGCCGCCATCCACATGTACAACCACGCCCTGGCCAGGAAGGATGTGGGTCCGCCTCCCATCCCGGCGCCGGGACAAGCCTGGGGCTCCCCGTCCCAAGTCGGGGCGCCACCTCTTCCCCTCGGGTTTGTTCCACACGTGAATTCTACAGCAACAATCAGAGGACGAGGGCTGCCTTTCTGAAAGCCTGGAATCTGAAGGCAGCGGTGTACTGGAGCCGTTTTTCTAGACCTTATCAGATCTGGAGATGCACTCTCAGTTTTATTAACTTAAGTCTGTGTAAAGCATTGTATTTTTTCCTTAATCTGGAATATGTTGCAGAAGGACAGAAGAATAACACCAGGAGCTTTTCTTGCTCGTACTGTTTTCATATTTTTTTGTAATCTATTCTGCTGTCTTTTAAATTAAACTTTTACCTTTATTTTTCTTCTTCTTTTTCTTTTTGTTCCGTTTTTGGGATGTACAGCGTCAGGCTGGGTAAAATTTTTAATCTCTACCTTTTAGCCTTTCTGTAATTTTTCCCAGGCAGAGTAGTATTATTGTTTTGCACTACTGACCAAAGTAGGCAGAAACTATTTTGGCTACGAAAGGAGATGGATGCACACTTGGAACATGATTGATGACGAGGTGACGTCTTTTCCATCTTGAAGTCGATGGCTGAAGAATGAGGCGCTGGAGCGGGGAGCGTATTCAAGGACTGGGTAGCACTTGTACGACCGCAGCACACCCGATTTTCCATCACGAAGTCTTGGAGTTCCATGGGAATCCTCGGCACTGTAGAAAACAAAATGAAACATCGATGAGCGAAGCAAACTGATCCAAAATTCAAAAAGGAAATAATTTTTCTTTTGTACTAAAATGATTTGTCCTTCTCCCTTGTCCTTTGGCAAATGTTTATTAAAGAAATGCCAACAATGTGTTTTTGTTTCTCTTTTTTTTAATTTCTAAGTTTGTCTTGTGCTGAACCCCACCACATGGGGGCAGTGTGGGGCCAAGCATCTCCACACAGATGTGCACTGTTCTGCTGAAGCAGTGACTCACATTTACAGGCTTCTTACTCTTATTTGACACCCTTCATGACTTGAGAATTGTAAAAAGAAAAATAAATAAAATTTACAAGTGAATTTAAATTAGAATCAGGATTTTTTTCAAGAAATGGTATTGTACAGGTAAAAATTTTTGACAGAATGTTTACAAATATTTTGATCAAGACTAAAAACTAATGAAACTTAAAAATCATGTCAGAAAATTTAATTAAGAGCAACAGTATCGTATGTAATTTAAACACAGGAAGGAAGCTTGGTTAAGGCAAAGCGTCAACTATTTACCGGGTGAATTTCAGCACTCATTTACCAAAAAGTTTATTTTCCAGTAGGACTTTATACCTGCCAATAGAGCCAAAGGTAACGCCTGCCTTTACATGTGTCTCCCTGATTGGCCAGATTACTTAACAGATCCGAAACTCTTCAGAGAATCTGTGAAAGGAACTTCCATGTCTCAGTGATTTAGTAATTTATGCAAAATGAGACCTAATAACTAAGTGCATAAAATGTACAGTGCATAGATGTGTAATATTTCTGTATTTTCTCATCCTCATATGCCCATATTGATCCCTATTTCATTTATACCTTTTTCTTCTGCACTTTTTCCTTCCACTAAACATTCTATCAATATTATGAGCCAGCATCATTGGCAATAACATTTTTTGACTTGGCCTCCTTGCGATAAATCAGCAATGATTCACAAAATCTTGTATCAAATAATATTCCTGTACTATTGGTTCTGCTTTTTAGAGGATTCTGCATTTTGGGTTTTAATTCTTTGTAAGTCATATTTATCATAATGAACTAAAGCAAATGATTGAAGTAAATCATTCTTTGTGTCATGAGTTTATTTCAATTATTAAATCAGGTTATTTTGTCCACAATATTCTGCTGTACATCAGATTTAGAGCGATTGGTTTGTCCACTCAGAATCAGCTTAATCTCTGAAATAAAGATATTTTAGATGTCTTGGGAATTCATTTGCAACGAAGGAAAATACTTTTACATGGGAAGCTAGCCATTAACTGTTTTAAAATAGTGACACTAGCTAAAAACACGACTTAAACCAAAGCTTCATGTTATTATAGGGAGTTTTCATGCATCTGTTTTGTTTTACTCAATTTTTCCCCCCCCACATTTTATTGCTGGTGATAAAAAAGCCATTATCTCTTGATGGGATCTGTTCAGCAAAGCTGATTCAGAACATGGACAGCACAGAGTCTGTGATTAATACAGCATGGATGATGGATTGCTGAAAGTTTACGATGCCTTCTGTGAGACCGGCATCATCGCTCTGTTTCCAGTAGAATTTAAAGAGCTTATGTGAACGGAGGAAATACAGTCAACTGTGGCGATTTCTGTCATTTTTTAAAATCAAATTATGACCCACAAACAGCTGGAACTTTGTGGGAAAATATTACAGTGTGAAGTTAACGTCATCAGGCATAATATTTATTTTTTTGAAATATTTAGTCTTCAGCTTTTTTACTGAAGTATTAAATTTTGCTTTTCTTTTTTAATAAGATCTCTACAGGACATGAAATGCCTACACAGATTAAATGGTGAAAAATATGAGACACAGACGGAGTGGGATTTTGACCACATTGGTGTCCTGTTTGGAAAAGTGTTTGGAGGATTCTTTCATACCTGAAATCACCAACTGCCAGGCATAGTGGTGGCGGCATAATGCCTGGGGTCTGTTTTGCTGTCAGTGGCTGTGTGGATGAAATTCCTCAACTTCACCTCCAATTAGAAATTTGTAAAGAACTGAGTTTTTCAGTAGGATACTGATGTTAAAGACACAACTGGAGGCTGAGGAAAATTAACTTTGGTCACTGAAGACACTTTATAATAGAATTTTTTTATTCCATTGCAGAGAATGTACAAATAAAAAAGTGAAAACTGTTTTTACTAAGTTGCCGATCCTATTGTTTTAATGACATTCCAATGCTTTCAATGAGTGAATGGGTCAGGTTGCATAAAAACTAGAAATTGTTGTTTTAGTTCTGTGTAGAAATCAGAATCTTTTAACTGTTTCTAATGATATTCGGAGTATACAGACTCAAAAACAGGTCAGCTGATGAAAGAACAACATATTCAGAGCAATAATTAGGCTCTGAATATGTTGTGCATAAAATACTAAGTGCATAAAATGTACTTAGTACATTTTATAATACAAAATACATACAAAATGTATGTATTTTGTATTTAAATGCAAAATACATACATTTTGCATTTAAGATGAAGAAAAACCTTTTTCGCTGGCATTATTTTAGCTTCACCCGGTTTAAAAAATAAAATATATTTTGCTGTCTAATTAATTTACAAGTTAATCTAAAAATAATCAACAGATTAGCCCTATGATGTGTTGATGTGAAGTCAAACAGAAAGGGCTGTAAGTATGTTTTTAGCTGCAGATGGATTCTTTGGCACAAATGATCAAGCATGCATTAGGTGAATGCTGTATTTTAGGCACTAAAATGTTTATTTTTTTTTTTATTTAAAAGGGGGTCGAATAATTTATGTGTCTAATATTGAGTAAAATAAGTAGTTGAAGTGGTTAAATGAAAAATCCTCAGAATGTGCCAACCTTTTTCTTATCTGTTTAATCAATTAATCATGAGAAAAATCAATAGAATAATTGATGACTAAAATATTGCGTCTGACTGCAATATGTCAAGTGATATTTGTTGCAGAGGGACTTGGACTCTTACGTTCATATAGATTTTGTGCTACATTATGTTTGTTTATTACATAAAGTACTGTTTAAAACACAATATATTTTTGCCTGTGACACCACAAACATGCAACGAAACAAACAGCTGTCATGCCCAGTTAATCCACAGGGTGGTGCTGCAGGGCAGGAGGCTACATCAAAAGTTCCACATGATCTCAACAAAATTTCAAATATGTTATGAAAGTGTAAAGGATGAGTTGTACTTCTCATCCTTGATCATTAACCCACGAATCTGAATGCTTCAATTTCTGAAAACGGAGGCGCTGCATTCTAATCCCCATCATTGTGGTTTAATTGTGGCAGAGTGGTTTCCTTTCTTCAAGACATCTGGTCGACCTTGTCAGGTTCATGTGATTTGCTAACTCAGTACTATCTTGAGAAACCCAATGACAAGAAGAAGTACCACGTAGTGGGTTGGTTGGTGGAAGAAAAAATAATTAGGAGTCCAGGGTAATTTATTGAGAAATAAACATGCTGACCTTGAATGAACCTTTGAGATCCATAATACCAGAGAGCATCCTGGTGCCGGTGGCTCCTTGACGGGGTGAGTAAGCTGAAATAATGGGAGCTTCATGGCTCCGGGTCAAACCTTGTTTTCTTTTTGCGTGTCTGTGTGTGTTTAGAGAGAGGAACAGAGGAAATGCATTCTTGTTTTTCTTTTCAAGCAATTTCCCTCGCGGTGCTGCGTTCACTTCTGTCCTTATTTATTTATTTCATTTTAATTAAAACGCAGAATCTAAAAGTAGCGGCGAGGAAACAATGAAGGTGCAGTCTTCCGCATGCATGCACGCACAGCCAAACCCTCTTATGGTGTCAGTAATTACAGTATGATGCATATTATTACAGCTGGCGTGCAACACCAGCCATTAACGGGACTGCATTACGGGGTGTTAATCTCCTCTAATGAGTGACCGGGTTTTAAAGGAAGTGTGTTACAGACAGACTAGACTAGACTGGCTTGATGTTCTCTTAGCCGTCAGAGCCAATCAGGAATGATGGCGTGTCAAAAGGCCGCCTTTCGTCTCTTGGCGCTGTGCATCAGATCCTCTAGGTCAGCAGCAAGGTGACACTTCTTAAAAGGTTATTGAGCACCAACCTTTGGTGGCAGAGATAACCACCGGTTACTCAAGACATCACGTTGACAAAAAGGTCAGAATCTCTTCAAATCTTTCTTTGAAGAAGACGATCTGCTAAATTTGCTTCACAGAATGCGTTATTTCACATGAGGTCAGGCTCTAACGTCTAACTGACATCTCCATTAACTCCATGCAGGAAGACAAAGGGCTCGCAAATCACACACAGCAGACATTATCCAGAAATGTCATTCTCAACCTACCATTAGACCTTACCTTTGAAGGGTAAGGTCAATGTAAGTCACTTTGAAAGTTAACCTGGCTCTCCGGGAGCTATGAAGACCTGACACTCCTTAAATATCATGGAAAAGTCAACTGAAAATCAAACAAATCGGTTGGGGAGGAGAAAAAAAAGCTTCCACAAACAGCAATCCCTTAAAAAAAGATTCTAGGTATCTAAAAGCAAAGGTGTCAAACTCTAATCCTCAACAGCCAGCATTTTGAAACTTTGTGGAGACACCCACATTACATAATTAGATCATTAGCAGAACTCTAGAGAACCAGAGGTATGATGAGGTAAATCAATCCTCAGATTCAGATGTGTCGGTCTTGCAAAAAGTTGCAGGACCGACTTTTTGCAAGCTCTGAAGGAGAAGAATCTGACATCCCTGTTCCACAGGGGGACTTTTGGCTCATTCCTCCTGACATAACCAGTGTTTTCTTGCTCACTCACACCTCCTGCAGTCATCAGAAAATCATTTAAGAGACTGAGAAGAGTGCCTCTTTGAAATATTAACCTTATTGTCCTTAAGTTACTTTGTAGCTAATCTGACTGCTTGCTTTAGGGTAATTGATTGGACAGACACCTCAGTGTTGTCTGCTTGATGCCTTGAGATATTGTTTTAATATGTCTACATAAATTTTGTCCTCATGATGTAAACTTTTTTGTGAAGTTCACAACATGATATCACATTTTATAGTAAGAAAGAAGTTCACAGGCTTGGACGTTTCAAATTTTCCCTCCAAATATAGCAACAGTCTTGATGGCCAATCATTTGAGTCTC